GTCTGAGTGTTGTTTTTCCTCTCCTGTTATTGTTAAGGCTGTTCATGACAAACACAACCTGCTTCCTCCCTACGCGTTTATAAGAATTTCCTTTTTGTCTTGCATGAAAACAATAGCAGCCCAATCTCCCCCAAAACTAAGTAATAGGAGCACACCTGGAATATCCACAGTTGTTCTGAGACCCTCTAGTTAGTGTTGTTATAATTACTATAAACAATAATCGTAGAACGTGCCCTATTTGAGTTTCCAGGCACTCTACATTATACACATTTTGGCTAACCTTCACGCCAGCCCTACAAAATAGGTATTATTATACACATTTTAGAGACAAAGAAACTGAGGCTCAGAGAGGTTCAGTGGTTTACCCAAGACCACACAGCTAGTGGGCGATTGGCACAGTCAGAACTGCACTCAGGTCTGACTGACTCCAAGGAAAGACAAGTTTAGCAGCCAACTGTATGGAGCGTTACAATCTGTCAGCCAGTGAGCTGAGCACTTCACATGTGTGATCTTGTTTAAGTTTCACCACAACTTAATGAGGTGCAGACTATTATTAACTTCCTTTGGAGTCAGGGAGATGCAGTGACGACGCTGCTGCTTAGTCTAACCCACCACATCTCCAGCCTTGGTTCCTACTTCAGATTCCAACCTTCCTCCCAGGAAGACATGTTTTCTAAAATCATCTGGAAATAGCGCTTCTAGCACTTAATTTTTAGTTTGCATCTGAATTGCCATACATTTTACATACATTTTAAAAAACGGTTTATTGGTTTGCACTTAACCACTAAGGCTTTTTTTTTTTTTAATGTACTGAATCTCAGTCCACATTTTTTCAAAAATCATCTAGGCTTCCTGGAGGTCACTGACTTTGAAAGTTCTGGCTTTTTCATCCCCCTTGTGCCACCCCACTAATATCACCACTGCTGGTCTCATTACCACCAGGGTGCCCTTGTGTCTGAGTGCTGCCAACTCCATTTATCCGGGGAATGATCGATAGATCTTAGTTATTTGAGAGGCTTTCCCCAAAGCCCCCTAGACTCCTGTGACCAGGCAGTTGGGAGAGCCAGCCTCAGCCCATCACAATGTGGGTGCACAGAGCAGGGTCAGAAAGACCAAGGATTTGGAGAAAGAGCTCAATGTTTGCTGGCTTCACAAAAACTTGGGGTTTGGTAGTTTCTAGCTACTCGTTGCCACCGTGAATGCAGCAGACTTGAATTTGTAAGTCACAAGCTTGGGTGCATAACATTTATGAATTTTTAGCATTTCTGAGCTTCTCCTGTGCCCTATCGTCTTATTCTGGTTACACTCAAAGTGCTTACGGTGGCCTTGAGACTCCTACCATCACTCTGAATTCACTCCAGCCACCAAGACCTGTTCACTGTCCCCTGAATACACTGAGCTACTTGCCTCGAGGCTTTTGCATTAGCTGTTCCCTCTACCTGGATCAGGCTTCCTCACACTTCCTCTTCACTCAAGTTTCTGATTAACTGTCTCGTTATCAGCAAGGGCATCCCTGCTGACCTTCTTTAAAGTAGCATGCATACCCTTTACCTTGATGTACTGCTTTTCTAGCATTTATCACTACTTGACATTATATAATGTACGTGTTTGGTTGTTGCCTGTCTCTCTCTGCTGGAATGTGAGCTCATGAGAGCATGGACTTTGTTTTCTTCGTGGATGTGGAGCCCTAGTACCTAGAATCATGCCTGGCACATAGTAGGTGCTCAGTAAGTATTTGTTGCATTGTTTCACAAAGACCTCATGATTTTCTTCATTAATGTCTATTTATAACTCAGCCATAACAAAGTCAAATGTATCATTTTTTTCTTCAGGGTTTCTACAGTGACCATTTCTGAATGCAACGTTCTACCAGGAAGCACTTTGATAATTAAAAACCCCAGCATTTCTGCCTAGACTATTTTTGTCACTGTCCCAGTCTCTTTAACTATTTCTGGCTCTGTCCCATGTTTCTGGGAAATTACTCAACAGCACCATCTGCTCCTATTATTATATTTTTATTATGAAAGAATAGAATTTCACCCACAAAAATTCAGTTTATCTAAGGTCAGACTCATAGGTTTCTTTGTGCCATCAGATTTTTCCCTTGAGTTTCTGCTGCAACTGTTAAACCCGGGGTTTCCCAACTTCCTCTCCCTCATTCCTGCCCAGGTCTGTGCCCTCCAGCATTGTTCTTCAGATGTGGGTTGCGAGTTGAGACCCACTGGTAGGTAATGAAATTAATTTAACGAGTTGTAAACAGTATTTTAATAAAATAGAATTTAAAAATTGAAAATGGTTTCATTTTGAAACTGTGGGACATAGTCCAAACTGTTTGAGAGCACTGCTCTGGCCTATTTAGGTTGAAAGAAGTTTTAGCATTATTTTTCTCTTTAGTTGTCTTCAGAATATTCTAGAAGGAGGAGTATTGGCACACTTACTCTCACAGTGGGCTTGTGTTGGGTTGTAGAAAATTGTCAGTTCTCTTAAATTTTCCCCAGCGCTAGGTAGTACAAGTGGGGTGGGCACACCTGTGTCTTTAACAATATGTCTCATAAAGCAAATATCCCTGGGGCACTGAAAACTGCAAAAATTATTTGCACAAACACTCCATCCAAATCCCTGCACTAAATGACTTGGCCAAGCCCCTAGCATGGCTGCTGGCAGCCTAAGGTCTCATCCCTAGGACAACCCAGTCCCCCGTTGTGAGTTTCTGTCTGGAAAAGCTCAAGGCCATCAAAAAAAAAAAAAAAACTTACCATTTGTTCTGGCCAAGGCCTGACAATAGGCCCCTGACTCCCTTTCTTAGAGCATTTCCTAAGAAGGTCTTACAATTGTAAATCCCTGCTCTGTCCCTTTTGAGATATAGAGGTATGTCTCTCCTACAGCCCAGAGTGTCTTTCTCAACTGACCCGAAAGCCATTCCTTTGAAATGTAATGATCAGGAAGGACAGGGCCTCTGCTGAGGACAGAATCCTAACTTCATGATCGACAGCTAGCAGATGCAGTGGGCCTCGTCACGTGTACTGACCAGCCCTTTATGATGTTTCACTTCCCTGACTCTTCTCGAGCCCCTGCCTGCTCCCCTCTCTCCACGCTCCTTCTCCCTTTAAAGCATCCAGTCCGCTCTGCACGCATCGCACTGGGGCTCATCTCTTTCCCTTACTATCGAAAGTGACTGAATAAAATCTCTCTTCACCATTTGAATATCCAGCTTTGTTTATCTTTGACAGCATCTACACACGCATGCCTCCTAAGGACCAACACTGCTTCTCAGGAATGGCAAAATCTTGTCATCCTCATTATTCAGAGCATTGTTCCTTTCTGTGCTTATTTCCCTGTATCACCTCTAAGTCACCGGTAGAGTCTTACTTAACTGTTCCAGCCTGGTCTGTGGTGTCCTTTGGGAAATTCGGTGAAGAGTCTTGTCTGTACAGGACTCTTTCCTTATAGAGACAAGAGTCGGGTCTATGAGATCCCCCACTGGGAGTCTCCTCCCTTCCCCCCAATGCCAAAGTTTGGGAAACTGGGTTAGTTTTACTAAGGGAGCAGGAGAGTTTCCTTATATACAAGCCTTCCTAAAGAATTTGAATTCGTAACCAGGAAGGGCCGTATCCTCTTTCGCTCTGTCTCCGGCCCTCAGAAATTAGGAACCCCTGGAGACGCTGGGGTAGCTAGAGGTCAAGACAAAGAGGATAATGAGGTTTCTATGTTTGGTGACTCCAGGGGAGGCAGCAAGTTAAAAAAGACTCAAGCAGATGATCAGAGATGGGACATGGGTGTCAAGGTAGCCTGACCTGCAAAGATCAATAACAACGAGACATCTGAGCACTCAAGAAGAAAAATAAAATCCTTAGAAACAAACATCGGCGTGAAAACCAGAGTGATTGGTAAGGCGGCTTGGGGCAGGTGGAACCTGACCCAAATTAGACCCCCAGCACCAAGGGTCTTTAATTGTGGCAGCATACAGGAACAGAAAATGAGGCATGGGCCCACGGGAGGTGGGAAAGAATTGAGATCTTACAATATATAAAGGCTGCATCTCCAGGGAAAGGAGGGTTGGTCCGGGGGGAGCCAGACAACAGCAGAGGGCACCAGGAGCAGAAGGAGGAGCCAAGGAAAGCTGGGCAGGTGCCAGGCCCCGGCCAAGCTGCCCAGGCTCAGATTACCTCTTAGATCCAGGAAGGAAATCGGAGGGCTCAGCAGTGAAGTTAGATCAAAACCCCATTTTGACTCACAGCTGCTGCACTGGCTGTCAGATCCATAGCCCAAGATTAACTCCAGAGCACTTCCCACCTGGGAGATGGGGCAGTGCTTCCCAAGGTTTTCCACCCAGAATCCCTAAGGCAGAGAAGCAAAAACCTCTATTTCTAAGGAGGCCTAGTGGGAAAAGGTCTAAAGCTATTCATGTGACCCAACATTTTTTTAAAGCCTCAGGTTTTTGTTTTTGTTTCTCAATTGCATAGGACCTTTGCATTGTACTCCAAAACAAACTCAACTGATGACAAGTTTTCCAGTGGTTGAGAACCACAGCTCTCTGTCTCATATGCCAAGTCCCATGAGCCCTGATTTGAGAAGCACAGATCAAATAAGGCTTCAAAGACAACATGTGACTTGGTGGGTTGACTCAGGGCTAAGAGATCAGGCCAGAAATCAGAAACCTGGAAGGGTGTCTCCTGTAATAAGAGGTAAGACCAGGCAGGATGAGAGTCGCACAGTTTGCAAATGGGTTGGGAAAAGCTTGCTCAGAGACACAATGAGGCTCGAGGCGTTAGGAAGAGAGAAGCTGTTTACTTTTTGCCATTCTATAAGCCAAATCTGATTAATCTTATCCTATGAATTTATCTAAACCTCAAAACAACTGAAATGTTTTAAATTTCCACCTCCTAAATTAATTTATATTCAGATACAACGTACCCAAATCGACCAAAACAAGGAAAAAAAAAAAAGTTTCACCTAGTGATGATATACAACATAGTCTTATACATTCCACACATATTTTATTGAATAAATAAAAACTTTATTTGTATATTTACCAAAAACAATATCCTTAGTTTGATCACTGAAAAAAATACAAACTCACATAACCGAAATACTTAAAGGATGTGGTTAACTAAGTGTTGACTATTTTTACCTATAAATATGAAAATCCAACCTGACAAAACTGGTTTTATAATAGCCATATTTAAAATAATAGTGGATTTCCATAAAGCTTGACTCTTTGTATTATGAGATCTATTACAACACCGAGATCAGACATTAAGGGAAAAAATGATTTTGCAGCCCAAAGTTAGAAATTTACAAAAGAAATTCCAATGGTGTTTACCCACTTTGAAAATTTTTTTGAGTACTTTTTCTTTTTCAAAATCAAGTAGGATAAGTAGATAACAACAGTACCTCAAGGATTTTTATAAATAGCAAAGCTATACTTTTCACAGCTATAAGCAAAGGGTATTTGCATTTCCCTGAGAGCATAGTTTACTTTGGGTTCATGGACAGTGTGTGTGTGTGTGTGTGTGTGTGTGTGTGTGTGTGTGTGTGTGATGAAGTCATTGACAGCGGAATGTGATGAGAGCTAAGAAGAAAACATTTATTTGTTGGTGTTTGGATGAGCTTAGCTGCCTGCCAGTTTAAAACCAGCTTTGTCAACTGGGGTCCCTTAACCTCCCCCATAAGTTCTACCCCACCTGCATCTCCGGGCCTCATCCTCTCTAGTTCCAGTAAGGTAGGAGACCCAGCCAAGCAGCTCAGAGGGCCCCAAAGCACATGGGTCTCACTGCTAGTCCTGTTCTAACTTGTGCCTCACTTCTCAGAAGTGGGTTGCTTCCTGGAACCCCTGTTCCTTATTTCTCCCCTTACCATTCTTGAGAATGGAGTCATGCTCACAAACTCCTGGGCCTCAGATATCATTTTCTAGAGCTATCATTTCCCTTAAACTTGACCTCCTTCTTCATCCTCCTCCTCCCAGCCAGGGATGCTCTGTTCACTCACAGGACCTGAATCAAGATCCAGTCCACCATGCTGGGGCTTCCCACCCTCCCTGCCTGAGTCCTGGGGTCCTGGGTTTCTAGCTCTCCGGCAACAGTAGTCCTCATCCCCCTGCTGGTGGGATGGGTTATGACAGTTAACTTGCTGCAAACCAGATTTTCATTTGTTTATCTGGGAATGAAAATTATATTTTGAGAGCTTCTATCCTTTGCTAGTGCCTAGAAGCTTAAATCCTGATGATATAAATTTCCCCAAAATGACTTGAAAAGTTTTCTTTCCCTAAGAGCCACAGACTGGCAGCTTCAAGTGCAGAACTCTGGATCGTCTTAAGAGGAACGCTGCTATACCATTATTGAGAATCCCCACTTCTTGAGGACCAACCACCTGAGATTTTACCACAAGTCACCTGCATATAAACAGCATATAGAATTACTTCTTTGTCTTCATTTAGGTATTCTGAACTAGTCCTGAAACTTGGGTCCCGCATTTAGAACCAAATTTATAACACAGGGATCCTAAATCTTCACTCTCCTAGCATAGGATTGACCTGTTGATGGGCTAAAAATTTGCTGACTGCTCTTATCAAAGGACAGCCATGACAAGGAGCTGCCTTTCGGGGGGATGCTCTTTGTGCATGCCAGTGATGCTGTCATTGGATATCGTCTTGGGAAGTTCTTCCCTGAAACCATCTTTGGAATATCACTGATTCTCCTATAGTTCGTAAATAGTTTCTGAAGGTGATCTCAAACAAAAACAACCATGTAAGCAGAGGCCACATCGTGAACCTAAGGGCACAGCCTCCCAGGGAGGTCACTTGGAAGGACAATAAAGACGTGGATGCAGCCTCATCACTTTGCATACATCTCCTTTTTTGCTAACATGGCAAAAGGAAAATTATAATATTGACTAGTGGCCTATTTACCTGTTTATCGAGTCTCCAGGGTGGGGATGTGTCTTAGTCATTGGTGTCCCCAAGGCTTGACAAACATAAAGAACTCCTTGAATGTTTGCCAAACTGAATTAGATTAAATTGTTTCAGTTGAGAGCTTTGTTTTAAGGTTATTAGTGCTCATGAGTAAGTGATATATTTGTTCTAAATTTCTACAAATGTGTTTGCATTTTCCCATCTTACGTTTCATAGCAGGTAGCTGAACTGTCACACATGACCCTAAGGCATAGAGTTTTTCATACACCAACATGCATTTAATTTATCCTCAATGATCTAAGTATAATAAACAGAAATCTCACTTGTAATATTCCAAGTCTTTTTTTATCTGCTTTGAATGTTAGCTTCTTCCAGTCATAACTTTTCTATGAAAATTAAATTCACTATCAACTCTAATACCTCTAACTTCCCAAACTGCTGAGAAGTACAGTCACAATATGCCACATCTAACATGAAATAAAACTCTATAAAGAGATTTGAAATCATATGATGAAAATAAAGCACATTGGGTAATGCAGTTACTATGTTGTTACCATTGTTGTTGCTTTTTAAATACAGCATACGAAACAGGATCTCTTAATCTGTTTTGCCAACTTGGGGATTAGAATGAATTTGCAGTGAGCTCATCTGAAAGCTCTAGCACTTTGAGTGAAGGACAGACTCTGTTCTTTAAGTCAAAATTGTGCCAAGCTGATACAAAAAAAAACAAACAGAAGGGCTTAAAAGGAACGAACACTAAGTTTCCAGGAGTGGGGGGGTCTCAGGGACATGGACCCAAATCGCTATCTGAAAAGTGGGAAGTATATTGTCAAGAGGAGTCGGTCGTTCCTGCAGTGGCCAGCCATGTTAGGATGTTTGTCTTTTTAAAACAGTGCTCTCTGTCTCTGGGAACCTCTTTTGGACATGGCAGTACAATGGTTAGACATAAAGAGGCCAGGACACTGGACTGTGCTGAAGGTACAATTCTGTCTGGTAATGACAGTTCTAGTCCAAAAATGGGCCTCCTGTGATCCTAAAAACAATAGAGGCTTTTGATGGGGGAGAACAGAACACAAGTCTTTTACCTCTTTCAAAGCAAACGGGCCTTCCCAGATCCATCTCCCTAGACCTGTCAGATGGAACGACCTGTGAGAAACTCTTGACAATGAGCCCAAGCTCCAACACCAAGGATTACAGACCATTTAAATAGGAGGGGGAAGAGAGAAGAAAAACAAAACACATTTATTTCCCTGCTTTGCTGAGTGAATCCTTTAGCAAACTTGTCAGAACAACAACAAAAAAAAATTGGGGGTATTGTTTTTGTTTTTGTTTCCTGCTTTGAGATAAACAACATGGCAGTAAGGGCACTGACTTTGAAATTGAAAGACCTGGGTTTAGACTCCTGGTTTAGCTACTTCCAATCAGAGTGGCCTGGGGCAAATCATTTAGCCTCTCCGAAATGCATCAGTAAAATAGAGGAGTGTTAATATCCAGCCACCAGGTCATTATGATGGTTAAGTGACTTGATATACAAAAGTTCCTGGCATAGAACCTGGCATGGAGCAGATATTGTCCTGAATGTTAACTATTCTTCTTCTTCTCTCCTGAGGTAGGTCACGCAAACATTCCTGGCTGCTCTCGAGTGTCCTAAAGCTATGCTTCCAAGGGATTCCCTGATTAATGGCCAAAAACCCAAGCCCGCCCGCTGTCTGAAGATGGACGGACAGGGTGAGGGGTGCGGAGGGCCTCCTGGCTCGAGCTCCAGCCCGCACCCCCTCCCCTCCCCTTACGTCTCCGTCTTCCCCTCTGTCAGACTGACACTGCTCCCGGCACGATCCTCCGGATGTGGGTGTACGACTTCCTGATGGTGACACTGCCGTGATGCGACACTCCGCGGGGCAGGACGCACTCCTCAGTCAGTTTCTGGGCCTCGGGGTCCCAGCACAGCACCGTGGCGATGACCTCGTTCTTCTCATCCCGGCCCCCCGTGATGTAGAGCCGGTTGTTGCAGGGCGCGATGCCGCAGCTGGCCCTCTCGTGGCTGAGCTGAGTCACCAAACACCAGCTGTCCTCCAGAGGGCTGTAGGCGTACAGCGCTCTCATGGCCCCACCTGAAGAGGAAGGGAAACACGGTGGGCCTCTCACTATTTTTCTGGTTTTCTTCCCCTTTAGCCATCAAAACCCTACATCTGATTATGTGCAGTCTACCATCTCGCCAAGAAAAAGTAGATTTCTGGCTCTGCAGAAAACCAGAGTGGATCACTAGGGGCAAGATGTGCTGGAGACACTTTGCAACATCCTTTAAATTCTAAAGCCAGATGTTAATCAGGTCCCAAAGGACACCTGGCTTGCTGGCTGCCAGGATGCACTCCAAGACTGCTCCCCGGAAGAAATACCACCTGGTGCATCAGGTAAACTCAGCTCAAAATCCCAGCTCTGCTACCTTTTGATCTGTAATCTCCAGCACCTAGACCATGGGGTTATGAGATGTCAGAAGGACCATGCGCATGGAGCCCCTGGCAGAAGGCCTGGTACATAGAAGCCATCAATACACAGCAATAACTAGAGGTGGCAGCCTCTCTATAGACTGAGTATGACCTGGGACACCAGCCGAAGTTACTTATCTTGAGATTAGACCTTTAAGCAGAGTCATGAGCCTGACCATAAACACGCATTAAACCTAAAGCAAGGGAGAGAGGGTTTTTTTCTTAATCTGTTCCCATATTTTACTTCTCTAATTAGCTCTTATTTCCTGAAGTTACTTGTTTTTGGCATCGCCTTAATCAGTGATTCTCAACCTGGCTGCACATTAACATCACCTGCACATTAAAAACATTCGCCCCGTTGGCCAGCATCCTCTTTCCCATTCTGATTTCGTTCGTCTGAAGTGAGGCCCAGCTACCCATATTTTGTAAAAAGCTCCCAAGAGGATTCTAATGAGTAGTCAGTATTGAGAGCCATCATCATTAGCAATTACACGCTAACTGTGGTCTGGCTGGCCAGGCTTTCCTTCTGGTGAACTGCAACTTTTCAGAGCTCCCAAAGCAAGTAGGGAGAGTAACATCCCTATGAACACAAAATAAGAAATAATGATAGCTACCATTTACTGGACACTCGTTATACGGTGCACATTTCTTGCAGCAACTTCTAGTTCCTCCCCTGGGCCTCAGTGATGACCTGCTGTGTATGTCTCCTAAATGTGAGCTGCTTCTGCCTCCAGGACGGCAAGGTCCACCAAGGCCTGGCCCGATACCATCTTCTCTTCCTTTTCAACTAGGAATTTCTGAATTCTCAGAAGGGCGTTTTCTGATCTACCTGCATGGCTGAGTGGGTGGGAGACCTCGAATAAATAGCTGAAAAAACTCAAAACACTACTTTAACAGGGTTTGTGCATCCATATTGTCATTGCAGCATTTTTTACAAAGGCTAAGATATGGAGGCAGCCTAGCTGTCCTTCAATGGAAGAATGGATAAAGAGGAAGTGGTACATATATACAATGGAATATTGCTCAGCCATGGAAGAGAATGGGTTCTTGCCATCTGCAGCAGCATGGATGGACCTGAAGGGCATTGTGCTGAGTAAAGCATGTCAGACAGAGAAAGACAGATGCAATGTGATTTCACTTATATGTGGAATCTAAAGAACAAAATAAATAAACAAACAAAATAGAAACAAACTCGTAGATACAGAGAACATTTTGTTGGTTGCCAGTTGGGAGGGGAGTTGGGGAGTGGGTGAAAAAGGGAAGGGATTAAGAAGTACAAATTGGTATTATGAAGTAGTCATGGGGATGCAGGATATAGCACAAGGAATATAGTCAATAATATTGTAATAACTATGTATGGTGTTAGATGGGTACTAGATTTATCAGGGTGATAGATGGGAGGGGGTTGGGGCAGGATGAAAAAGGTGAAGGAATTAAGAAGTACAAATTGGTAGTTACAAAATAGTCATGGGGATGTAAAGTAAAGCATAGAGAGTATAGTCAATGATATGGTAAGAACTATGTATAGTGCCCGGTGGGTCAGGGGGCTTACTTCATAAATTTATATGTTAAACATATAGTATATGTCTAACCACTATACTGTACATCTGAAATTAATACAAAATAATATTAAATGTCAACTGTAATTGAAAACATTTTAAAGATGGGGAAGTAAAGGAGAATAAGAGATTCAAATTTCCAGGTATAAAACAGATAAGTCATAGGGATGTAATATACAGCACAGGGAATATAGTCAATAATATTGTGATAGCACTGTATGGTATCAGATGGTTGCTGGCCTTATCATGATGATCATTTCTTTAGGCATATAAATATTGAATAGCTATCATGTATACCTGAAATTAATATAATGTGTTAATTATATTTTATTTTATTTTATCTATTTATTATTTTTTAAACCTTTTTTTTTTTTTTTTAGCTGAGCCATCCTGTTGGCAGCTCAGCGGAAGCTCAGCTCAGGCCGGGAATCCAACCGGCGACCCTGTTTGCTCAGAGCTCACACTCTTGAGTGAGCTCTTAACCAACTGAGCCACTTGGCTGGCCATATAATGTGTTAACTATATTTTAATAAAAAAATTTTTTTAAAAAGCCATTTGCTCACTTACCAACGACATAGATGCGGTCCCGGAAACTCACTGCATTGATGCATTTAGCCTCCACTGGCATGGATGACTTAAAATTCCACTTATTGGTTGAAGGGTCATAACACTGAGTCTTGTCTGTGGCAAGTTTCCCATTGGGCCCTCCCCCAATCACGTAGAGTTTCTTCTTATGGCTGGTGGCTGCAAAGGAACTGACATGGACAGGGAGGGGCGCAACCTGCAGAAGCACAGGGCCCCAAGAGAAGCTGTCAGTCACACTGCCCAGATTGATACAGAGGCTCACAGGACACAGGCTGGGAGCCAGGGGTCACAAGCCTGGGCATCCTTTGCCTAAAGTCACAGGGCTGGTAGCCTTGACTCCTCTTGAGACACAGAGAGGATCAAAACACACATCTCCCACCCTTCCCCCAGACTCAGGGCAGGCTAGAGTTGAGTGTCAGGTGTTTTCAGCCTGCTTCTCCCAGAATTCAGCACTGAGGTGAGGAGGGGTGTTGACAGGAATAAGTGTTTATACAGATGAAACCAGCCAGTGTTGGAGAAAAATGCTTTCTCAAACGTGCATATTCACATTCATTCATTCAAAAATTATTTACAGTGTGCCTACTATGTGTCAGGCACTGTCCTTGGTGCTTATATCCAGGAAGAAAAGCTGGTATAAGGGTTTCAGGTGGCCACAGGTAAGAAGACTCTCCCACTTTGAGGCAACATGCAGATTTTGGGATTAAGCCAAACTCATGATTCCACCCTGTGAACCCCAGGCCATTAAAGGGGACCTCCAACAGCCTCTTGCCCACTGACATGACCCTCTTGGGTCATAGAGCAACTCTGTGATGGGACTCACCAAATTGAGAAGCTCTTAGGCACCACCACCCCCCTTCCATAAATGTTAAGGGCTCCCTATATGGCACTTTTCAGGTTGACAGGACTTAGCTGGATGCCATGATGACCTAGCTACCTTGGCCTGTGCCTACAGTGACCATGCTTTATACTCCCCAAAGCTGGAACATGCTCTGACATATTATCTGATAAGGAAAAAGAAAATTTGAAATTGGGAATAACCTGGAAATACAGGAAGTGAGATCACTTTACCTTTTTTAAAAAATATTGTGGCAAGAACACTTAACGTGAGGCCTACCCTCTTAACAAATTTTTAAGTGTAAAATTGATTGTTGTTATCTGTAAGCACAGTGTTGCACAGCAGATCTCCAGAGCTTATTTATCCCACATAACTTTATGCCCATTGATTAGCAATGCTTTACCTCTGCTGAGTATGATATATACCTGAGGTTGTTTTGCTAAAGTCCTGCATGCAGGCTTGTAACTGGTTCCTCATTAATAGGCAAATCACCAAGGGCTAACGTCTAAACACTACCGAATAACTCTGTATTCAATAAGCAATATATTCAAGAGATCCCTATGTATCCCATGTGGAGAACACAAAGGCACATAGCATCTGAGGGGACATAGACTCTGGGCCAAGACATACACCAAGGTTAGGACTAAGCCTCCCCTCCACATATGGGGTTCTGGTTAGGGTAGGACAGGTGTCCACAGAGCTTCCCCACCTGAAAGGAAGTCGTTTCTGTGATCTGATCGACAATGCTGAAGCAATGGGTCCTATGAGGATCGAAGCTCAGAGCCACCAATTATATTCTGAGTGAGAACAAAGCAATCAGAAAGCCATATACCTATATTGGCATATACCTTTCTTTGAAGCTTTGAAGTAATAACTCAAACAGAGTGACTCATTAATTTCCCATACCTCTGACCAGCAGTTGTGGAAGGGGTCGTAGGTCTCCACGTTGTTGATCCTCTGCAAGCCATCAAAACCTCCGATCACATACACCTTGCCACCCAGCACCACCATCTTATGCCTCCAGCGGCCTATGTTCAAATACTCAATTTGAATCCATTTGTTGATCGAAGAATTGTATTTCCAAACATCGTGCTGTGTTTCTTTGCCACCTAGAAGAGAAGCAGAGCATCGGAAATCACTACAGGGTGTCAGAAATACAGCTTCTCCCATAATTTCCTACAGGCCCATAAATGCTAAATTCCCTGAGTTGACCCCCCCTAAGGAAAGAGAAAAGAAACCTTGAAGATATGTGTGGTCTGCTTAGGGAGATAGAGCCAACACGGGGGAACAGGGAAAGACATTGTAAGTAAGGCTGGGGTGCATCATGCCCCAGACTGTCATGTGTCATTTCTGTGCCGTGAGAGTTCAGGGAAAAGGTGGGCTTCAGGGAGGCAGGACCCAAGGCCTCCTGTGTCCAGCAGAAGCCTAGACTCAGTGTTTGTGCAGCCAAGGGGCAGGATGTAAGGTAGGACAGGTAAGCTTGGACTACAGCAGGTGGGGATAGTAAAGCCTTGACCAGCAGTCAAATTAGAAAGCAACTTAAGTTCTCTGTTTGCTTATTTATTTAGACAAAAAAACAGCAAACTTGGAAAAATCACCAAGAAATCTTACAAAATTCTCTTGGTTCATATCTTGCATCTACATAAAAAAATATAAGTGGTTTTGTCCTGTTTTTAAACAATTTTTATTATTAAAGAATGAGATGCTCACAACAGATGATTTGAGAGTGAGCTGGCAAATATTTTTTTTTCAAGACAACTCTCTTAATAAACAGAAAATACGTAATTCAGTTAGGAAGAGAGACTAAAACAAAGGAGAACTTACTTTTTTGGTGACTTTAATCAAATATTTTAATAGCTTTGTATTTTCATTTCCCCATCAGCACAGAGCACCATCAACTACTTAAAGTAAAAGATGTGCTTTTCAGGCATGAATGTGCACTAGTGCAGCAATGAAAATCACTGACGATGCTCCGTGTCATGGGTAAGTGCTTCTCCCGGGTGGAGCCCAGAAGTGGGATTCCTAGGTCAAGGGCCTGCACACCTTGAATTTTTACAGGTGCTGCCAAAAAGCCCTCCAAATCTGTCCTAGTTGACCTTTCCCCACCCCACCCACAGGGAATATGAGAAACGTTTATTTGGTTGGTTGGTTGGTTGGTTGGTTGGTTGGTTGGTTGGTTGGTTGGTTTGTTGGTTGGTTTGGTTTGGTTTTACAGCCTGATGAAGAAAAATAATGTCACAGTTTGGTTTTCTCTGCTATTAAGGAGACTGAGCTTCTCCTGCTTGGAATTGTTTATTCATAGAGTTTAACCATTTTTCTTTGGGTTACGTGTCTTTTAGAGGTCTCTATTCAAAACACTGTGATGTTGGTCCCATTTAGGTAGCGTCAAAAATCATAAAATAACTATAAACTTTCAAAGAAATGTATGCAAATTTTATTAAAAAGAGAAAACCGTTACAATTCTTACTTCAAGATGTAATGGAAGACCTGATTAACTGGGCAGACATAACATGTGCATAGATGAGAAGACATGTTATTGCAAAGCTGTCAATGCTCCCCAGGTTTATCTATATATTCAGTGTCTCAGGACTTTTCAGGGAACTTGAAAGGATCATTCAAATTTCATTTAGAAGAGTACATTTGAAATTATTTCTAAGAAACTTATTAAAAAGAAGAATGAAAACAGGGGCTTTCCCAAGCAATTATCAAAATATACTAAAAAAGAAAAAAAGTCATGAAAGTAAAAACAACATGGTACTAGCATAAGACTAAACAAACTGATCAATTAAAAGCAAGAGTACAGAAATGACCAAATGATATAGAGATCATTAAATAAATGATATTAGAAAACAATTGGCTGTTTATTTAGACAAAAATTAAGTTAGAACCTTTATTTCACATTACACTTAAAATTCACATGTAAATGCTATAAAACTAACTGGAGAATATATAGAAGAAAATGTTAATGACCTTGAGGTGGGGAAGGACTTTCTGAGTATGACTTGAAACCCATACTCATGAATAATATAAGAAAGTTACTATTCAAAATATAAATCAAAGTTAAAAGATAAACACAGCCTGTGGGAAAGTATTTGCTGTACAAATAGCAAAGGATATATAATAAGAGCTACAAAAACTTATTAAGAAAAAGATAAACAGCCAATAGAAAAACAAAGGATATGAACAGATATTTTTTAAATGAATACATTTAGCTAATGAATATATGAAAATATGCCCAACATTAATAATCCAAGAATGTAAATTTAAACATTCTAGTCTATTATCTTGTAATTGACTGATAACAAAAAATGTTAGCAAGGATGTAGAAAATGGCCACTGTTATACATCATTGGCTGAACTGTAAATTGGAACAAACTTTCTGGAGGACAATTTAGCAACATCTATAAGAATTCTAAATTCACACATCTTATGACCACTTCCAGTAATCTCTCCAAATAGCAGCACAAGTTCATATACATATGTGCATAAGAATGCCTAGTGCAGTTTTTTTTTTTCAGGAGGAAAATAAAAGCTGAACAAAACCATGGTTCGTCCATTCAATAAGCTGCCCTGCAGCTGATGAAAAGAATAACGGTAATGACAATAATGCTAATGATGGTGAACACTGTTGAGCTCTCACCATGTATGATATCACTGAATACATATGATAGATCCATCATACCAATATGTAATGATGTCCAAAATATACTGTGAATTGAAGTACAAGTTTCTGTTGACTTAATTGTAGATAATAGTATGCTTTCATATGTATTGCTTGTATAATATCATTTTTTAAATGACAACAACAAATTTAAGGAAAAGGAAGGACAAATTGTAGACTAACATGTGCAGTGGATGTGGCTGTGATTGTGATTGTGACAACCAAATCTGAGACTGACTGTGATTACCAAATCTACCTTTTCTTCCTTGACACAGCTAACCTACATTTCCCAGCCACCTGCATCAGGTAGGGTGCACAGGGAGGGCATATGGCTAGTTCTAGGCACTAGAACGTGAGTAGAACTGATGCCTCATGTCCAGGCTGAAGCTGTTGTGAGCAGGTGTGTCTTCTCGGCTCATTCACTTCCTCTCTCTTCTCAAAATGCATCAACCTTTTTTTTTATTATTCAATTTATTAGGCTGACATTGGTTAGTAAAATTATATAGGTTTCAATTGTGCCATTCTATAATACATCATTTACATATTGCATTGTGTTTTAAAATGCATCAACCTTGAAGGCCACGCACATGTGGAAAACAGACAAGATGGAAGGAGCCTAGGTCCCTGAATGACTGAGTGGAACAGATCCACGCCCCCTAACCCCCACATACTATTGTGGTAATTCACTGAGATATAAAGTTCCCTACAGCAGATGGCATTATTTACTCTAAGACAATATAAAATATTTTTGTAAAAATATTAAAACATATAGTATTGTAATAGCACAAGGAAACTGCCATATTTTACTTTATACTCTCTGTATTGTTTGAATCTGCTACACCAATTTAAAAAAGATTTCTACAAGATAAAAGAAAGCTATAACCTAATCTATGGTATTCATATATCCAAAGAAGAACTGACCTGCCCTCGATTTTGGAGGCGCCAGCTCTAAGAAGAGACTTTTCCTCAAACAAGTGCAGATTAGAGAAAGCCTCCAAGAAGGGGGAAAGGATGCCTGTCTCCTCTCTTGGGGCCCCAAGAAGAGCTGGGTGGCTTTTGATATCATGGAGAGAGCACGGGACTCAGCGAACCTGGGTTGGAATCCTGACTGACATTTACCAGTGTGTGACCTTAGGTACATTCCATAACCTTCCTGAGTCTCAGTTGTCTCCATTTGTAACCTGGAGATTAAAATTACATACCTTATAGAGTTTATGTGAGAGGCAAATGATTAA